ATTTGAAATTCTAATAGAATATGGCATACAAAATCGTTCAGTGACTTGCATAATTAAGTACTTTCTGAGTAACAAGTAAAATATTAGAATACATTAACTAAATGTATTGCTATGCACTAGATATTAAAACATATACACTTTGAGTGAACTATTCAAATGTTATATAATGAATTGTTTAATTAAGAGTGCAATGTTACAGCTTTTGCTATTAATAAGTAAGTTAATATTGATGAAATGCGCTTTGGAAGAGTCGATTTCCTAGTAAAGATTTGAAAAGAATAATGTATTTGTGTAAATAGTAACGATATGTTTGAACCAATCTGGTTCTAATTTGGCAGCTGTTTGTGCATATTTCATAAACGTTTTCGAGGATTTGTTGGATGCTTTAATTTCATTAGTGACAATCGATGAACTCTGTATTTTGTTGGGGGGAAGGACGATGGGTCGAGCAGCCCCAGTATACTGTGATTGTGACTAATGAATTCATAACTTCCGTTTCCGCTAATTGACGACGAGCGTCGAACCGCAAACAACGCTCCGAGTCCTGAGGGTGCCACTCGTGCAGAACCCACTCATGTCTTCTTCAAATTGCCACACTTCCTAGCCTCTACTTCGATACTTGGCGACTGCCGAATCCTTAAAACTAATACGCCATCAAATCATGATAATATTCAATTATTTCAAGATCACGTATTATGTAAAATCCTGTGATCTTCTGATATTCTATTTTATTGATGTATAAGAAACAATTATTTCTGGAAATCTTGAACATTTACATAATTTACCTTTTAGAAATCATTTGCATGTATGATTTGTATAATTAAATTATACACTGCTTAGTGTAATAATTTTTGTTTAAAATGTATTTTTTTTCTTTAAGAATAGTATAAAGTAAGCAAGTATGTTTTAAGTATTTAATTGTATACAAATTATGTTAAATATCAAGTATGTTTTAAAGTTACTTTATTTTCTTATGGAAATAAGAAGCACGAATACGCATGCCAAATTTTACCATTATCTAGCTATATATGCTCTATAGATTTAGGAATACAGTAATTCCTCGACTTACACGATTAAATGGTTCCTAAGGTTTTTGCGTAAATCTAAAAATCGCGTAAGTCGAGGAAAGTATTGTATCTATATATATGTACTCAAAAAATATTATTTATTACATATATTTATTGGACATACCAAGAAAGAAATTTACTTTCTGACTAAAGAAGTGGATTTTTGGCATGCCACTTGCGCACAACTCCTCTTCTCGTTACTGTGAATTGAAAAACAACTAAAATCACGTAAGTCGAGGAATGACTGTTTTTAGTTTATTTTAATGTTTAACTTGTGTGATTTGTTTTTAGAGAAAAAAATAATTTGTATCGTTTTCTTTTAATATTTTAAATATTTTTTTAAGAAAAGTTCAGACCAAATTTCCTTAATTGGACAAACTTTTCCTTTTGGAGTCATTCATTACTCTATAAATATGAATATTTTAGTATTGAAAACTTTGGTGGACAAAGCCTTTAACCTGCAAGCTAAATCTAATGGTTTATGTCTGTATATAATCGTACTAATAGGTTGATAGCTAGAATTATACATAATTTAATGTCTGGGACTTTAAATGTATTACAATAAAAAATTGGGTGAAGTTTTTCTATCTAATAAAATACTTTTATCTATAGACAAACGGTAGATAATAAAAATAAAAATAAATTTAGTACAATTAGAAACTACATTTTGTAAAAATAGCCGATGTAATATCGCGATATATAAATAAAAAGTAGTAACATATCTTTTCCAAACATAAAATTAAGGTACATAAAGTTCTTCAATTGAGTTTATACAAGAGTTTGTCACAGGTTTTCTATTCAAGGATAATCTTCATTTGAATACAAATTATTAGTTATGATCGAAGAAAATCTTCAACAAAATTCATAATCAATTGCAAATTAATTTACTATTTTGATCTAATTGTAAATAAAAATTAGACAACTACAAAAAAGGAATAGAATCTCGTTGAAATACTATTATTTTAAAATTTACTAAGTAAATGCTCCTATAATATGGTATGCTCATAATGCGATTTCCCTATAAGCCCTCTTATAACGTGATTATCTTATACCGATGTTATTATATTAATTATCTTAAGAATATGAGGATAAAAATTGAATTAAATTCGAATGATTTGAAAAGTGTACTTGATTTGGGTAAATTAAAATTAGTTTTCCATAGAAGGCGGTATGAATTAATTCATATAAATCAATATTAATTCTGAGTTTCTTATAACGCAGTACCAATACCTTAGAGATATAATATATTCTAAAACATTTATCAGATAAAGATTAGTTTACAAAAATGAATAATATATATTTTAGTCTGTACTATAATTATTTTATTTCTGGGTTGTTTGGTTTTCCATTTATCGTACGCTGACTTAATTTCTTTCTTTTAAACATCAACCCACAAGCTATGAACATATTTAAAAGCCTGCGTTACCTGTTTGTTTTATCTACAAAATCTACGTCTGTAGTCTACGTAAAGCTTGTATGGAAATTCTATTTTTAAACGAAAATTGGGGCAATTATAATGAAAATGACATCTATAATGAACTTACATTCAAACCTTTGGCCCGAAAGAAATGAAAATTGACCAATATTAAAGATTGCAAAGACTTTTATGTGCCGTACGTTGTTAGTCGTGCTTGTATGATTTTTTTTTCTTCTATTCCACATAGCTTACGTTTGTCGACCTCCAAGCTGTCGTCTATAAAAGCACATCGAACAAAAGCACAATTGTCCTTTGTCAATTTAAAAGGAATGGAAGTTTATATTTAGCAATGGAAAACGAAAAGCCAAATGGAAGTACTATTTATTGTCCATTCGATTTAATTGCATTTCGCCACTCCATTTGTTTTCCGTCGCTTCGCACAAAAGAATTTTACCTTCAATATAATTTATAAATCAACGACGGGAATACCTTTTAGTTGATTCTATAAAATTATCGATTTCAATTCATCAATATTTATTTTCTCCACTAAAAACCTGACGCACCTGAATCAATCAATAATCCTCGCATTAATTTCACTAAGTGGTATATTGGACATTATATAGGAGGATTAGATAATTTGCAATCAATATATATAGGTGACATTACAATCAGGTCTCTCGTTATTACTTGCACGGTCGATTAAGTAAATTCCACATCGTTATGTTCGCTGTTTGCCAGACGCTCGCAATTCAAATGTGAGTTTCTTCTATTTGCAATTTGGGTATCTGATAAAGGGCTGTTATTCATTTTTAATTCTCCCTTTCGGACGTAAAATCAATGGCTCGAGGGATACGGTGGGGCTGTGCAAACACATTTACAGGGACCTACATTAATAATGAGACGGCCGAAGTGGAATAATAAAGAAATTATATTTGTTTCTCACTCCCAGTCCGACCCGCCCACTTTACTTTTCCTTCTTCAGAAATGAAGATAAATGGCTTCGCTTATAAATTTCTGCTCCAACGTAACTAATAAATGAATACAGTTGAATTATTTATCATTGAAACAATGAACGCTATACGTTGCTTCATTCTAGAATAAGAAACAGAGGACAATAATGATAATACTCTTTATTTGTTGTCATAAATCTCAATTCTACAATCATTAATTAAATATAAGCAGTGAATATTATCTTTGTACAGATTTATCTTGAGTTTTCTCTAATTGTTCCATTCGAATCATTCATGTGAATACGCCATATATCAAAACCAAATTTTAAATACATCAAACTTTTTATTTTCTTATATGAATATAAACAAACTTATTTATTATCTATATTTACAAGAAATCTTTTGAAAATTACAGCATCTTTTTTTTTGGCAATAGATAATATCCCACTATTGCATAATTTCCTGTTCATAATTTCTTCAACTAATAGCTAAGAAAAGTACAATCTACTTGAAATATGTTTAATCAAATGATAAATTTGTGGTAAATGAAATAATATAGGCAAATAAATAATTATTATTTATAAATACTAAAAAAATGATAATTAAAATTTTAAAATGTCGAAAATAAAGGGCATGAAATATTAAAAGAAGTAAACGGCGTCTTCATCAAAACAATTGAATATATAGCAAAACCTCGTACAGTGCGGGTTATCAATTCTTCCATTTTGCTAGATTGATTGATATAGAACTAATCGAGGAATTATGTATTTATAGAAAAATAACTGTCTAATACAAAAAAGGATCATTTATCTAACAAAAAATGTTTTGTGCACTATTTTGTGTAATTTATTTTGATTTTGTTCAATTAAAATTTAGTTTGTTTTAAAATTACTATAGAAACCGGATTAATCAACCATACATTTACTGAATTTCCACAAGTATACGCACCCATTTTAGAAAATAAAAAGAATAAAGAGAAGGATAATTATTAAAAATAAAATTATTCTTCTCTAATGTAGTTGCTACACCTTCCTCTAATACTTGTAATATTGTACAATGAGTTGTCCAAATTTTTTGTATATAAGTGTGTTATCAAACAGATTTAAATCTTGAAATCAGTATTTTCTTGTAACTTTAGGAAAATAAATTCTTGATTATCAAATATTTCGGAGGAATGACAAAAGTCGATATGGCTTTGGCCAGATGTTATTTATATAGAATGTGTTTTAGGTTTAACATTTTTATATATTTTTTTTTATTAAAGATTATGTTGCGTATTATTATTAATACCATTCAAATATCAGATTATTTATTGTTCTTTTATTTCATTAAATATTTAGTCATAGAAAATGATCGATATAGAAAATAATTGATAAAAAAATATAGTTGATTGCAATTAATATATATTCTAATAATATATTGTTAGTAAACACTTTTACTACTGAAATAATATAAAATAAGAATAAATAAGCGTTACATGATATAGGCAATCAATAGATCAATAGTCGCGATGAATATAATAATGGAAAGAATTAATGAATAATATTAAAATATGTTAGAACTAACCTTTTCGTATTATATGGCCGAAATTTAATAAGTAATTAAAAAAACTACACTAAAGTTTTAGTAAAATAGGTAAATTAGCTGTAATTAATTTTGATGCAATTGTACGAGAAGAAACGAGGAAGCTCACTAAATGTATTTTTTGAAATGTTGATGATGTTGATGGAAGAACAAAATGCGATGAAATGGAGGCTGCCTGCATGCGGATTACGAGCTGATTAATAATATCCTCACTTCTGCTTCTGTCAAATGACACTAATATATTAAACTCGCTGACGTAGATAATTACTTCTACAAGGGACTCAATCGAGCGTCACTAAACTACTTTGCCTATCGCACAGTTCACTTAACATCTTCTACTTCTTCTTCTCCTTGTTCATCATAAAACTTAATGGACCGCAAGGATCCGTCGAAAACGCCAACTTATTTCGTAATTAACAATATTGATCTAGCGCAATTGCCGCATTATGTAATCAAGAATAACAACGCACTTCGCAAATAATATAATTAACCGCAACATTAACCAACAGTTTGCACGAGCTAAACGGATATCTGCATAATTTTTAACAGTGAATTATAAGATATGCATATTGATTGAGCGTGTAATCCATTATTCTATTAAATAACTAGTTATACTATAATATTTGCAATGAAATATTTTCTGTAAATAATTGAATATTTTAAAATCAAAAATGCTTTTTAAATATTAACTTAATAAATTGCACTAAAATGATTAAAAAAACATAATTCATGATATTTTAATAGAAGCAATGTAACAAAATGTTAATAATCAACAGAATTTTTTAATATACAGCAATACCCCGCATACGGCGACTCCAAGCTTCGAATTTAAAAAGAAACTAAATTTTTTATACATAATATTACATAAATTACATTTCTTTTCCTCTATATCAGGGGTCGCCAAACTGAGGCGTCATTTTTTGTGGTAATGAGGATGTTCAGCATTAAAATTGTATGTATCCATGAATTCACCTCCACTGTCATCAATTATGTATCTATGAAAAATTGTCATAATCAGGTAATAACGGCGTAACTGAATATATTTTGGGGGTAATATGTATAAAAAATTCCCCTACCCTTGCTCTATATACTCGAGCTTCTTTTGTTCTACAGCTCATATATATTTATTTCATACTTTACATTATGCAATAACAATATGTTATGTAATAATTACTTGATGTATATATTATCCAGCTAAAGTATTAAATAAGGTAAATATTATACATACTTAGGTATTACATTGTATATCGATATTATAAACTTTATCACTGATTTGAAACCACTTTATACACTGATCTCGACCACACAGTATCCTTGATACTTAGTTGAAGTTTCATAATTAATTAATTAAAACTTGTTGAGAAAGTTCGACTCAACATTTGCAAGTTATAATACGCGAGTATTAGTATAAAATATGCCAATTTACTTTTCATGCTAATATTATTGTAATTAGTGTTCTTATTCAGTTTTACATAAACGATAGGCGTTAATTAATTAATATGTATATAAGATTTTTGCAATTAGGTGGCTTTGCTTGTTGCATAATTAGTGTGGAGTATGTGGTGTATGCGGTGCTGTGTGTGTATGTATGTGTATGTGAGCGTGGAAGATGCTAATGTGGCAATTATAAAGTATCAAAAGCCCGGGCACGGTTTGTGTCGGGAAGCGGCTTAATTGAAAATATAGCGCCTAGGAATTTCGCTCCTCGTTTGATACACACAACTTGTTCGAAACTTCTATCTCCGCCAAATGTCATTTTAACCTTACAACTGCTTCCAAACCTGCCGAGCTTGAAATTTCCGCAGTTTACTCGATGCGTTATACTTAGCGTATAGTTTGCGCACATAAACCACTTCAGCAACTATAATTCCAAAAAACAGTTTAATTGCTCAAAGCCGACATTCATTATTGCGAGACTCGCGTGAAATATTTCAAAAGCTTACAGCTCTATTGAAATTCGCAACCATTTGATTCGCTTTACGTCAACTTCTTTTTGATGTATGTACATTAAATTCAACACAATTAACACACATGAATATACGTAATTCAATATTTTTTACTTAAAATTCATATAAATCTTATATAACCCTTTTTTGCTAGTGGTTCCACTATGGTACCACATAAAAAATAATTACTTTCAAGCACCCATAACTTTGATCACGTTTTATGAGTGCTTGGCTTTGATAAACTGCATTTTTTGCTTCAGAATCCACGTGGGTGGTGGAATTTAGACTTTCAGTTGCATAGGTGCGGATCCGGAAGTGTGCCAGAAGAGAAAAGAGAAGAAGAAGCAACGAGGAAACTGACACAGTTCTTGGTGCAAGGTTCGCAGATTTTTACAAGAAATAATCATTTCAATATTTTTGAGCAAAAATAAATAAATTTGATCATGCATTCGTAATGTCTTGCAAATTTTTAACCTAATTTACCAAAAAAAACGAGTAATTGCTATATATAAATATAAAAATCGAACAGTGTGGTTCAATATTTTTACATTAGCATAATTATATCACGTGTTTAATTATAGCATTAATAAAAATGTAGTAGTTCTTTTCTTAAATTTGTTGTAAATCTTCAGCGATTCGTGAAATCCAGTGCAAAAGCAATTGTATTCGTAATTCGCACGGGATTTATGAGCCGGCTGCCGGTTTTGTTGTGTTCATATTTACGTGTTTTATAATCGTATTTACGTGTTATATAAATTAAATGCACGTGAGACATTTTTATAATCCGTGCAAAGGGTGTGTGCACGTGCATTGTGCGGATACGTGTGCGAGTGAATGTGCATAACATGGCGTGCCTTGATGCCTTTGTAATTACTCCGCGAAGGCACCGCAAGGAATATCAAATTTCATCCCCTAATTTCGAAACTCTCACCGCGATGATTTATAATGTCATGGCCACATTTCCGAAACCTAAACGTATTCAACCTCTATTATCGTATAAATAATATATTAATGATCAGGGAAGCACCTAAGGCGATCAGAGATAGTTAACATCTACATCATTGTCAACCATCCATATGATTATTCTCTATCATTTCCTAGCTAATGACTTTTAATGATCGACGTTGATGATATAATTAACACACATTTTTTTTAAATAAAAAACAATTTTGTAGATGAAATCAATAGAAAGTTTATACCGGACTGTTTGAAACCGGACAATATTTACAAAATAAAACGCAATTCAAATTTAGTTTGTTGTGAATTTACCAAATCGTACTATAGAGAATTCGAACTGGTCAAAGACGAGGTATTTCTGCATTAAAATATATATAATATAAATTCAAATCTATTAAATAAATTGCTGATCAATCGATAGCGTAGACAAATTAAAGGGTTGATAAGTTTGAAAATTGGGGTATAATACGTAGCAAGTATCCTTTAGTAATTGCGCAATTCAGAGCTCGTTTAGTAGCTCATTTTCAACCCGGGATATCTTCGACGATGTCTAGGATATCTTTAATCAATATATACATCTTGTAAAGTCTGTATATTGTCTACTTTCTAAACGCTGTTTGCATTTAATGGACCGAACGATATAGCCGTTTGGAAGCAAGTTAAGTACATTGTTCCAGAAGTTTAAAATTGCCTCCTCATATTTTAACGTTTAGGTAAAACTCTTCAAAAAACTATTTTGTGTTAATAATAGGAATATACAATTGTTAGTAATAAACTAAAATTGTGATAAATTAATGGTAGTTTTTTATCTAATAAATTGTTATAGATTAAAATAGTTTCAAATGATTTAAGATAATATTTCTTAAAATAAGCTAATTGTATTTCTCTTATTTATTATTTACAATTATTCTATTTTATTAAAATCTTGTTATACTTGAACATTATTTGCAGTGGAAAGAGCATTTCGCTTAACGAGCAAAATAAATTGTAAGAAAAGTGACTCACTTAACGATCGTATTTTACATTAGTTTATATGGAAAATAATTTCACTATACGAGTTAAAATCTGTGAATTTTGGAACGGATTATGCACGTTCTAAATTATTTTTTTGGTAATTTTTACGTAAGAAATTATAAATTATTTAAAATGTATTGTAATTTAACATACATTGGTATTGTGGTTATAGTACTGCGTAATTGTTAATTATAGGTAATAACTATATCAATTGAGTATATTATAAAATAGCTTACTTGAACGTAAAATAAAGCTCTTCAGAAAAATAATCCGCAAGGCGTTGAATACAATTAATACAGTGTATCTTTGTTTGGACGCTACTTATTAACTGGCAAAAGTTTCAACTGGGTGATGCCACTAATTCAATTAAGCTTCAAGTGCCCACTTATTACATTGCAACAGTTATCAACAACAGAATAACACATCCTCTTCTACAATTTTCTATTTATGAAATGAAATCGACCGAACACATTTACAAATTCGGAATAACATAATACATTGTATTCTATGTATATATAAAATCATGGGAATATTTATTATATAAACAGACACATACACATTTCCGTTTACACATTTTTTAAGTATAACATACTTTGCGTAGTTCATCTTTGATTAGTCTGGTCGGGGTATTGCCAGAACCGAGTACCCGGACTATACGAGGTATTATAGTAATTTTATAATATTAATCTTATATACAGTGAACCCTCGCATAACGAGTAAAATAAATTGTAAGAAAAATTACATTAGTTTATTTAGGGAAAATTGTTTTACTATGCGAGTAAAACTCCGGAAATTTTGCTCGTTTAGCGTGGTTCCACTGTAAAATTGTTTATTTTGTAGCATTTATAGACAAAAATGTTCATTCTTGAAAGTTTTAGCGTAAACTAATTTCTTAAATATAATAATGCATACTTGGCAATTTTTCTTTACAACTAAATTATACCTACATGACACATTTAGTTAACGATCTCAGTTTCAGTTCAAAAATATCAGACATGCCATCTAAATTATACCGAATGTACATACATGCACTCGGTTAAATGTTGAAGTAATTTTAAGATTATGTACATTCGGCTATTACCGAAAGACGTGATAATTCTATTTATAAAATTTACATTTGTAACATTTTTTTTGTTTTCAAAGTTTTTATTAAATAACTGTTATATAAACTGTATACTGTAGTTTATATAAACAAAATTACT